CTCCCTCTACCCCAGGACCCTCACAAGGCCTAGGTTACTAAGTCATGCACTGCAAGAGCTGGGCAAGCCGGGAGACCTCTGATGGCCCTGGCTCGTGCCCCACTGGAGTCCCTGGCCACCGCGGGGGAACAAAGCTGTGAGGCTCCAGGCCGGGCCAGGGCTGGGCCTCAGACGCCCTTGTCCAGTGTTTGCCTCCGGAGCCCCAGGCCTCCCAGGCCACCCATGCTCTGGAGGACCCATTCTGTGAGCCCTGGAGGAGGCCGCCATCCACACCACTGCAGGTGACAACACCCCGGAAGCCCAGCCCTGCTGTTGGCCCCGCCGAGTGTCTCCACAGTGTCCCCCAGGCAGGGCAGCACAAGCAGAAAAGTGGGGCCACAGAGGCACAGATGCCATCCCTGGAGGCGCTCCCTCCCAAAACCAGGTCCTCTGCCCCACATGCCGATCCAGCTGCCCCCGGCCCTGTGCTGGTGTGGAGGGCTGGGGTGTAGGCCCAGGATGGTGGCTAGTGCAGAGACAGCTTTGCCTGGACCTCCTCACCCAGCTCAGGACCCAGCGGGGCAGGCTGGCTGCGACACCAGCGGAGACTCACAGCGGCCTCTGTGCCTGAGCGTGAAGCGAGGCCAGAGGACCGAAGCAGTGCCACATCAGGAAGCTGAAGAGCAGGAAGTCACCTTGGAAAAGATGGGGCTTCCGGGGACAGGACTAGAGATGTCTCTGCTTCGGGCGCTGGCCCTTGGGAAGTCTCTTGTAGTGTGCGACCCACTCCCCCCACGTGGAACATGGTGTGGCACAGAACCTCACCTCCCTGCCACGAGGATGGCACCCTTGAGACCCGGGTCCTCCCAGGCTGGGTCCACGCCCCCCCGTGGCTAGCAGGAAACCTCCGAGACTGTGCACGCATGTGCTCACAGGCGTCTGTGACACCCGCCAGTGCAGGCATATGAGCACACGACACACATACATGCACATGTGCATACCATAGCCCCTCGTGGAGCTCTGCAAGGCACTTGAGTCCACACATGGGGGCAGAAGCTCGGCGGCGGGGCTGCAGGACACCACCCCAGACCACACGGGGACAGACCACCCTCACCCCTTTGTGGCACACACAGGTCAGTGATGATACACACACAGGTGACATCACACCTGCCCTGCAGCCACCAGCAGAGGTGGGGACTGTGAAGCCAGGATAGCAGCCCCAGCAGGGACCACTGAGGCACAGACATCAGGCGGGAGGGCCTGGCTGCTCATGGGGAGCTCCGCCGCAGGTCCTCAGATGAGATGAGACAGCAGGTGCCTGCCTGTGCCCCTGCCGTGCAGCGTGGGGCCAGGCAGGACACCCCTGGTTCTCTGGGGTCTCAGTTACTTTCTGGGTCACCAGGGCACAGTGCCTGACTAATCCAGGCCTGCCAGCTCCAGATATGCAGCACATGGCAGAAGGTTCTGGTGGAACAGAGCTGCCCACACGGGGGTCGCCAGGAGCGGAGAGAGGAGGGAACCACAAGGGAGAAACCTCGGGCCACGTCCCAGGTGCCACTCATCAGGCCACATTCCAGCAGCAAACACGGGAGGCTTTAGGGGACACCTTGAGCTAAGCCACAATGCTGTCCTTGTCCTACAGACATGGACTTGAAACCTGCTTCTAACCTGGAGTGACTGCATGCTTGATGGCCACACTGCTGCAGTAGACAATGTGCCCACATGGCGTGTCTGCCCACCGGTAGCCCGTGTCACCAAGCAGGAACGCAAGTGGCTTCTCAGAAAGGTCACTTGTTTCTGTGATGTTTTGATTTGGATCTGCTGGCTCCTGTGCATCATCCGTGGGCTGGTCTTAACAGTCAGGGTCTACACAGCGGGAGCTGTGGTGCAATTAAAGTCACTGCTAATTAGAAAAGCAGTCCACCCTAGACAGGGAGATCCATGATGGATCTGAGGGGAAACATCTGAGAACTTCCTGTGACACTGCCCACACATGCACGCCCGCATGCACACGTGCACAGCCTCTGTGGCGCCGTCAGCCCATCAGTGGCCTCAGAGAGCCAAGCTGTGAGGGAGTCAGGGCCTAGAAGCTGCACATCAGCCAGCAAGCTCTGGCCTCGAGCACTCATGTGGCCATGCAGACATGGGGCAGGGGCCATCAGAGCTAAGCTCAGCCGGGTGGACTCAGTGGGGCTGCGGCACCTGCCAGTGAGTTCAGATCCCCGCAGCCCAGGCACCCTCAACAGGGCCCAGTTATGCCTGCCACACAGCCACCCACCAGCCCGTGGCTTTATATAGCGGCCACTGTTTTATTGCTGTTGTGAATCTTGGGGCCCAGGAATTTGGGGACCTCTTCAGGTGAGGTGGCTGGGGTCAGATGGGGACAGAACAGAACTGCAGAGGCTGAGCTGCTGGGGATCAGCGTCTCCCTGGGAGGCCTGAGTCCGCATAATGGGCTCTCACGTGGCCCCCTGTGGCTTCCTCCCACGTGGCAGTTTCAGGACCTGGGTGTGGACTGCACTGGTGGAGCAGGTAGGTGCCCAGGGACACAGGCACACCCTCCTGGTGGACTGGAGGACTCTTGGACCAAGAACTGTGGTCTGTCTCTGGAAAATCTGTCCTGCCACCCAGGATGGAGAGAGTACAGAACAGAGGCGACAGACCTCACAGCTGCCAGCTTCTGAACAAAGGCCTTGGAGCCGTGGCCCTGCCCACGGCTGCACAGGAGCACTGTGGCGACAGCCATGGGCCCAGAACCTGGGAGCTCGCCACCTGGCCCTTTCCAGGACGCCTCCTGGAACAGCTTCCAGGCCCAGTGGTTCAGGGAGACAGAGGCGGACCCGCAGCCAGCGAGTAGTGAGGACCGCTGGTGTAGCTCCCTGGTCCCTGCGGCCACAGCCTGGGTTCCTGCTGGGCACCACTTCCCGGGGGCTGAGCTGACCCAGAGCCCCCATTCCCAGAGCCCCTCAGTGCCGCGTGGCTCCCTGACTCCAGCATCTGCTCCTCCCACGGGGTGGAGAGACGACTTCTGGGAGCTTTCTTCAAGTTGCTTAGAACGGACACAGGTTAAAGCTTATGCACAACTTGGTCATTTCTGGAGGTTTCCATTTAGTATTTTCCAGCTGCAGGTGACAAAACCTTGAGAAGCAAAATCACAGGCAGGGGTTACTGCACCCCTGATGGCTGGTACCTCCCTGGGGTTCTGCAGCAGCACCGTGGACAGCCAGCCAGTGTGTTGTGCTGGCACTTGGGCCACTGGTCTGCCACACCTGCCGGGTGGCTGGTGTTCCACCATCGCCAGTCAGAAGAGGCCTCTCGAACAGGACAGGCAAGCATGGTCCTTCGCAGGAGCTGGTAGGGGCCCCTCCTCTTCACCAGCCACTTGGGTGGATACCACAGACGGCCAGAGCAGCTCTGCTGGTGGCTCCAGGCTTGCTCGCCGGTGCCCGTGGCCCTCGGGGGCTCTGTGGGCCCAGAGCCTTCAGCCCACAGTGAGAGCTCTGTCTGGGCCAGAGGCCACGGCTGCTTCTGCCACTCTCTGCCGCCGCCGAAGGATGTCACTAGTCAATGTGGGCTTGCGCCCCTCACCACGGCCACTTACTGCCCCTGCGGAACGCTGCTGCTGGGTCACACGGGTCCTGCTAGTTACTGCCACTGCTGGCCACTGCTGTGTCTCAGTGCCAGCTCTGCTGTTGGTCTCCAAAGTCCTCAGCCCCTACTTCATACTGCTTTTTTTTAAAAAAAAATTATTCATTTATTTGTTTATTTATTTGATACATGGTCTTGTGCAGCTTGGACTTGTAGTGCTCCTCTCGTCTCAGCCTGCCCAGTGCTGGGATTATGGGTGTGTGCCGCCACACCCGGTTTGGGGGCCCCCATGGCATGCTGGGGCTCCAGGGCCGGCATGGCATGCAGTGTCAGGGACTGAAGGTGGGGCCAGGTTTACAGGACACCACAGGGAGGCCTCACTTATGCAGGACCTGTGTGCGCCACAGCACGGGGGACAGAGCTTGGTACAGCAGCAGGAGCTCAGCTCGCCTAGGAAGAGAGGAGGGCTGCTTGTACAGCACCTGCAGGCTTCTGACCTGCCCAAATGCAAGCCTGTGACTGGCCCAGATTTGAGCCCCTTGATTGAGCAAAACTGGTCCAGAGTCAAGCCTTCCGAGTTGAGCTTACTAACAGGTCCAGATTCAAAGCTACTGCCTGGTTAGAACGGAAGCCAGCTATAGTCAGAACAAACACTTCCTAAAGCCGGCGCAGGCATCCAGGCTGCCTGTGGCCACAGTGTGAGGGAAAATCAGGAGACTGCCGCTTGACCAACACAAAAGGCAGGGCTTCAATCAGGCCTGCGGGCCTCCTTCAGGAGGCCAGGCAGCCACGGCTCACCGGGCCTGGGGCCTTGGGATGCTCATAGTGGGTCTAGACCCTTCCCTGACTTCAGCCCCAACCAGGGCAGTTTCCTGGCCACCTCTTCAGAGAGGTGAGAAGCGGTGGGGCAGAGCCACTGTCTGCTCCTGTCTGCAGCCATGAAGTTGCTTCAGGGGTGGCCGAGAACACTGAGGCATATTGTCCCAGCCCATCCTCATAGGGCAAGGGTTGAAGGGAAGTGAGGAGGGGACCATAGCCCCCGAGTGTCCCAGGAGAAAGGAATCAGATGGAGTGGGTCCCCTGGAAGGAGTGCTTCTGTCCTCAGAGTGGGATAGTGGGACACTCCATCCCACATGTGTCCTGTGCATCTGCCACTGCCCTGCCCTTGGAGAGAAAGAGCCAGAAAGAGGGAGAGAGGGGGAGACAGAGCTAGAGACAGAGAGAGATATGGGCAGACATAGAGCTAGAGAGATAGAGCTAGAGCCAGAGAGAGCCAGAGAGGGAGAGAGAGAGAGAGAGAGAGAGAGAGAGAGATTGAGAGAGAGACAAAGAGCCTCAGGGAGAGAGACTCCACGTGAGCCCAGCACTCTCCATGGCAGGCCCTGCAGCCCTGAGCCCCAGGAATGGCTCTGTGTGCCCTACGCTGCACCCACCTCTTGGGCCGATAGTCAGGTATGGTCCTGTCCAGGGAGATGCGGTCACTGAGCTGGGCGTTGTAGCCATACTCCTCGTACTGGCCGTCAGCCTCCTGGCTGTCATCCCGCAGGGCAGCTGCCATGCCACCCTGGCCCAGGCCACCTGGCCCCTCCACCAGGCCAATGGGCTTGGCGAGGCCTGCAGGGACAGAGGAGAGGGACAGTCAGTGGGGGCTAACAGACTCCGTGAGGGCAGGCCCTGCTCCCTGGGGTGCTGAGGTGGGCAGGGCTCCGGGGCACAGACAGGATGAGCAGCACCAGGCAGGCGAGAGGACCCAGACCCAGTGAGGAATAAGGTCAGTCGCCTGCTCCAGAGCCAATACCACCCTGAGTCAGAGCTCAGGGCTGGGTTGGGCTGGGCTGGCCGGGCTCCTCAGGGCTCTGTCTTTGCTTCCTGTAAACTTGAAACTTACTAAAAAGTGAAGTCTGTCTGTTTAAAAATAAATAAATAAACAAGTGACATAAAACATCTGCAAAGAAGCCAGATGTGGCGGCATATACCTGTCCTCCCAGAACTCTGGAAGGCTGAGGCAGGATGATCACAAGTTCCAGTCCAGCCTAGGCATTTATCAATTTACATCTTTTTTCAACAAATAGAAAGGCTGGGGACATAACTCACAGTGCAAAGGCCCTGAGTTCAATCCCCAGTACAAAAAATACCCTCAAACAAACACCCAACAAAACAAACCTGCAAAGAATGAGAGAAATTACTCTGAAAATGTCCAGCACTTGCTCGAGCCTGCCCAATCTGCATCCTTCAAACTGGGTGACGTAGTAGACATACGTAGCAAGCACACTAGATGAACACAGTGACACCAGACAGGACGGACCACTAGAATAGGCAGGGTTGAAGCAAACGATTTCTTTATTTTCAACCAGGGGCCGTCAGGCCGAGGGTGAAAGGGCTGTTGGCCACAAAGGAGAGCAAAGGCTATGCTTCATAGGCGAGTCTAAGCAGGGGAGGGGGAGCCCCACCAAGGGAGGTGGAAGATCTTGAGTTTGTGAGGAGTCACTGGTGGAGCTGGCACCTCTGGTGGAAGCACCCGGCAGGAGGTGCAAGATGACAGTGGCATTTTGCCGACTTACACAGCGGCATTCTGTAGAAATACAGGGTTTTCTAGAAGCCCGAGAACTGACTGGTAAATGCTTACTTTCAGCCTTTCAGCCCAGGTGAGGGGGCTTCCTGTCAGAGGTTTTCTCTCCTCAAGGTGGGTGGGTCCAATGTGGAGGACCCAACAAGACATGTGCAGCAAATGTGCTAGATGAACACGGAACACACCGCACACGCTCCGTGAACGTGCACAAGACACGAGTGGGCTGCAGAAGAGGATGCCACTGGAAAAGGACCATGAGGACACCTGTGTGCAGCTGCCCCTCTGGGGCTGACTGCACAGGCACAGGGACTCCCTTGGCGTCTAGGGCTGGACATTGTGGTGGGCCGGGGCGAGCGGCGTCCGTGTGAAGACGCCTGCTCCACGAGGGCCCACCAGCCTCCTGAGGAAGTGTCTCCACCCCACTCAGCCGGGTGCACAGGCTCGGAGTCAGCCCCGCACCCACACCCTGTGGTGGGAGCTGGGACTGTGGGGACCCAGGGAAGGAGCGGCGGCCCTCGCTCTGGCTGCAGCCAGGCTTCTGTGTGGAGCTGTGTTTAATGCATGAAACTTAATGCTGATGTTTATGCATGGAAGAATAATCCACATTGGATGTAAAATGTTATCATTGTATGGCACAAATCTTATTTTTACTTTAATACTGCAATGTATAGAATGCTATTTTTAGACCTCTGCATCGCACTTGAGTTCTCAGTGAAAAGTCTAAGAACTGCCATCTCTGAGGCAGATGCAACAGCTTCTGAACTACAAGAGGGGAGCAGCCTTGGCCCCCAGGCTCTGTGACCAGAGGGAGGCTGGGTGCTCCCCGGGGGGTGCCGTCCAGAAGCCCCAAACTGCGTGTGCCACACTCCATGAGCCACGCCTCAGGTCCTCTCCACCCTGCCCTCCAGTCCTGTCAGTCTGAGCACCTGAGCCGGGCTCTGGCCCAAAAGCGGGTTGAGGGTTCCCCCCTCTGCCCACGCCCTTCCAGCACTCTGTGTTTTGAGATGCCCTGGAGCCACCCTTTGGCACTAAGGGGAACCCTGAGGGCTCAGTGTGGACAAGTCCCCCACCCCCTGGTCACAGCTGGCTCCTCAACTGCAGCCCACATCTGAGGCAGCCACAAGTCCACTTTGGGATTTACCACACGTGGCCACATGGCCAGCATCCATCCGCCCTGGGGCGCTGTGTCAGGACTGTGAGGACCTGTGTGAGGCCAGCTCTCACTGAGCCAGGCCATCAAGCAGGGACCTTCCTGACGTGAAGGCGATGCTGGCACTGTCCTGGCGCCTTGGCCAGTCCATAGTCACGAGCATCTCCTGGCGGTGGGTGGGAGCGTAACCCTCCAGACCCAGTCAGCACTTGTTCTGCACAATATGCCAGGAGGCAGGTGCTGGAGGACCCACCAGTTTGCAGATGGGTAAACCGAGGCACAGAGAGGTCAAACCACAAGCTAGAGCTCCTGCGGTCTGTGAGCCCTGGGTCAGGCCTGCACCAGGCGGTGTGGCTGGAGGCAGATGCCCTCAGGGCCATGCCTGGCTCCGCCTTGGGCCTGAGCTTCCTGGGAGCAGTCTTGTCTCATCCCCATGGAGCGAATGTGGCCCCAGCACCCTGCCTCCCAGCCGCCCAGTCCTCCCTGGGCTCCCCGTCCTGCTCTTCCTGGGCCCCAGTGCTCTGTGAATCCCCATCTTAGACCTGGGACCCCTTTTCAGTGACTGGCAGATCCGCAGTATCAGAAGGCTGTGACCAGCAGAGTTGGCTGTGTGGAAAGAGGCTTTCAGAGCCTGAAGCCCCAGAGCGCTCAGTTCTCTCCTAGCGCCAGCTCTGCCCAGTACCGCATTCCCACAGCTGCCTCCCTCCCTTGCCCAGCCCGCACAAGAGATATCCAGTGCAGGGACACGCAGATGGCTCGCCTCTGCTCTCTGGAACTTCCTGGATTCTCCTTGGGTGTCTCACGGCCACTCCGCAGGAAGGAGGAAGGTGGTCACTCACTGCCTCCCAAAGCCCCTTCAGGGCCCCTGCCTGCCTTCTGTAGCTTCCGCTGTGTGACAGTTTGTCCTCCCCATCTGTCTTCTGCCACTGGCTTCCTGCCCTCCCTGCCATCCCGAGACCCGCAGGTCACCAGCCTGGCCTCGTGCTGTCACAGGCTGCCCAATGTGAGTGTGTCTCTAACCTCAGGAAGCCCCTGTCTCCCGAGTGGGCAATGGCTGTGCCCTAAGCTGTCACCATCGAGACCCCGGAACCTACGAGCCTGCTGTGTCCCACCCCAGGGGGACCCACGGACCACAGCCTCAGGAGCAGCACCATCTCTGGACAGAGGAAGAGGGGAGGCTTGGGGCCTGAGGGACTGGGCTGTGTTCACTACTGGGGCATGTGGGCAGCAGAGAGCAGGCTGTGGCCCCACCACAAGGCGCTCACTTAGTTCTCCGTGCCCAGCACTCTGCTCCTGCCTCATGTCCCACCCTCACAGTCATCCGAGGCCTTCTGTGTATCCGCTCTTGCTCTTGCCCCCAGAGCTCTAGCAGGCCAGGGGCAGGTGTTTTGTTTTGACAGCGCCTCTCTATACCCCAGGCCAGCCTCAAACTCGGAATCCTCCTGTGCAGCCTCCCCGGTGGCAGACCTGGGCTTCTGTCCTTCCTCGCCTCACCCAGCACCTCACATGCTTGTGGTGCACATCGCACCCTTGCCCCTCGAGGGTGGCTCAGTGTCTCCTTCGGAGCTGGTGCCGGTCTTTGACTCGTGTGGCACCCGGACATCGCCTCCTCCCATACTGAGGCCCAAGAGGGGAAGATGAAGCCCAGAGTCACAAAATAACCCCGCCAAGGCCTTGCCACTGGGAGGGGGTCCAGGCAGCTCTGTGCTATTCCAGGCCAGGTCCGCAGTCCTCTCTTCTGTACTCGATTCCACAGTGAAGCTCAGAACAGCTCGAGGTACAATCAAGACATTTAATGTATCTCTGAACGTTTAAATTCAGAGCGTTGTCACGAATCCCCCCAAGTGTTCCCCCAGCTGTGAACAGTGGGCCCCAGTGAGGCTGTGGGAGGCAGAATGGGCTGGGTCTGGGTGGGAGCTGCCGGCCGGGAAGGGTGGCCTGGTCGGACGGGGGCCCAGGGCGAAGCTGGAACCCCACAGCGGATGGAGAGCCCAGATGTGGGTCCCACGGCTCTAAGGAGGCACGAGGGCTGCCTACCAACTTCCGCTTGCCCTCGTCCCAGGGTCGGCTCTGGGCCGCTCGTGAATTCTCCTGCACATCCAGAGCTACTGGCTCCCCAGGGCGGCTCAGGACAGCTGGCCTGGGGCTGCAGGGTTGGAGGCTGCCTATGCCCACCTGTTACCTGCTGGAGCCCCTCTGGGGCTGAGCCAGGAGCAGCCTGCATGGTAGAGGCTCTGCCTGCACGCCTGCACGTCTTCTCATCCCTGCCACGCTCGTGTACTGCAGGCCCAGTGCTGGACAAGTACAGGGATGGGGATGAACACGCCTCGCCCTCTCCTGCTCACAGGATACACAGCTCCCAGGAAAGCAACAGACGGGTTGTGAGGCAACCACAGACCTTCCATCCCAACTCTGGGGTCTGTGACTCCTGATCAGGTCAGATCAGATCACTCTCTGGTGCCCCCATATGGTTGTGACCCCTTAGCAAGAGGTTTCCTGGGCTGGGGAGATGGCTCAGCAGAATAAGTGCTTGCCCGGCAAGCACAAGGGCCTGAGTTCAATCCCTGGTTCTGCCAAACAAACAAACAAACAACAACAACAAAAAAACCTCCTCTGCTACCACATTTACTATATGCACCACCAAATCCATAAGAGGCTCCCTGGACACAGGCAGCCGTGCCGCGGTGTGTTCCCAGGCTCAGGGAGCTTGGAGGACTGCAGAGGGACCCTGGCCCACAGGCACCTGGCTCAGACCTCCTGGCATCTGCCTGCTGCCCCCACCCACCACTGCTCAGCGCTGACCGGCTTTGTTTGGCTCCGAGGGCACAAGCCACCCACATGCACCATCCCTCTGCCCGTGACCCAGCGCAGGTAGCTTCAGGGGCTCAGCCCGCT